TTTTTTTTTTTTTTTTTTTTTTTTTTTTTTCTGCTGAAGAGTGGGGTGGAGCGAAGTTACGTTGACATTTGAATAGAACGTTATGCCCGTTGATTGTTATAAGTGTGCTATAGGTGTTTTCTCTCACTCAGCTTAATTATATAGCGGTTGGCGTGGCTGGGTTATAAAGTTTTCGGGTAGGAAATTTTTCAACTCTTAATTCAAGAATCATCTAGTCATATACGGTTTTCTGTACAGTTTTTTTTTGCTTTTCTGGAATGTTTCCGGTTCCCGTAACCCCTTTCCCTCTTAGAATCCTATTAGACTCCGCTGAGTCTTTTAAGCAGCTCAGTGGAAGTGATTCCTCGGGCGCTTTGCATCTCATTTTAAGAGATACATTGGTTTTTGATACGTTTGAGATTTCAGGTCTTGTATGGGGAGGAGAATCTTTTCAGAGTTTAATATTGTATAATGAATATTTTAAACCTTTACGAAGGTTCTATTCCTTCGCGTGTTGTCACCTACCTGGTGACAGGTTGATGCCATTTAAGGAGGTAACTTGACTTGCTTAAATTGGCTTTGGTAAGTTTGAATATTAACTGAATGTTAATCTCGTCATCCTTTTGGATCAAGTAACCTGTTTTTCAATGGTTGTAAGGGTGTTGGTAGAGCGGTTAATATTTTATATTGGGATATAGGCTTGGATATAGAAGACATCGTAATCGATTTATTGGCGGGGGGTCGTCCCTCGGGGGAAGCGTTTGTGCGGTTTTCGACCAAGGAACACGCTGAGAAGGCACTCGAAAGGAACAAAAGCTACATGGGTTCGAGGTATATCCATTTGCAATTCCAGACCCCGCTCCCCTTCCTTTTTTCTCGACTCTATCACGATTCCGTTTTGTACAGTCTGTTTAATTTTGTTATGGAATTCTTCTCTAGTTAATTGCAGTGTTATTTAGTAGGATAAATAAATTTTTCCCCAAGCATTTTAACACCGTATGTTTCACGGGATGTGGTGTTGGGAAGCTTCGTAGCAAAGTCGCCATTTGGTTGCAGGCATTGGCTAGTGATTATTCTTTCATGTGTGCTATCGTTCTCGCTTGGATTTTAGCGTCAAAAATTCCACCTTTGGTGGAGGGTGCTGGTTCGAATTAGCTTTTAGATTCGAATGAAGCCAATTGGTTTGGGGGAGCCGCTAGAAGTTAAATATGGTGGGAAAGAACGAATTTTCTGACATCCTTTCTTTTAATGGATGTATCTCGTCTTGTTGCTTTGCTACGATTCTTCCAGCAACCAAGTTTGGGTCATGAACTGATGGAATGCAATGGTTTTCCAAATTTTAGGCTACTGTTGAGATGAAAATTCTTGGTTGATTATCCAACAGTTCTTATTTGGGGCTTAAATCAGTTTTTTGGGAGCTAGTCTGCAGTTTTTACAGTTAAAAGGGTTGTGTTTATTTTTCATGCGGTTACGACTTTGCTACAATGAATTCACTTGTCGTTTTCACTCAGCACAGGTGCTTGGCCTCTGGCGTCATTTTAGTTTATGGACAAACTGCTAAAGCTTGTGCATATTTTATAATGCTGTTTTAATCGTAAATTACTGTTTGAGTACGCCCTGAAACTTTGATTCGTCAAATATCTTGAAGCATATTTTTGTTGTTCAGGTATGTTGAGGTTTTCCGAAGTTCATGGGACGAAATGGAAAATAGTTATTACGATTCACACGGCTATCCGCCAACCAGATCTGGGCCGATACCACTGCGTGAAGCGGCGGCAGCATTCGAAGTTAGGGAAATGCCACGACCACGCCCACTGTTTGAGTTAGTAGATGAGAATAATCGTCAATAATCATTTTGTTTGAGCTTTGCAGTCGTCCTTTATTAGTTTATTATGGCATGGAGCAGTTAGAAGTTTTCTTGTCTCCTCTTTAATTTTGTATCATTAACCTTTCTGGATGATTTTTCTTTTTATTTACAGTTTTGACGACTTTTATGAACCCCCTGATATGTATCCGAGATTGGGCCCACCGGTTGGTCCGGGACCCATGAGTCGTGATCGCGGAGGGTTTCGTTCTTCCCCATACGGAGACGCGCCTTACCCTAACCGGCGGGGTCGGTTCTTGCCTGATGACGAAGATTTTGGTCCTCCGTTGCGAAGGGATGCACGGAGAAGAGAGGATAAATTATTTATGCGAGGTTGTTTAGTGTTATACTAGAAAGCTCATATTACTTTTTGTGAGTGTTAGGTATTTTATGTCGCAAAATTTACTTTTTTTTGAGTACTTTTGTTGATTACTGTTGCTTAATTTCACATTTGCTACGGGCATCTATTATTGCTGCGTTCACATCATTTTTATTTGCTCCTTCGACCTTGTTTTCTTTTTAGGCATGCCTTATAGTGTCACTGGAGTAGATATCGAAATGTTTTTTGATCCGATGAGGTGCCTTGAAATCAAACTTGGATATGGCCCGGAGGGGCGACCATCTGGTGACGCACTTGTAACTTTCGAAACCGTTTATGATTGTGATCGAGCCTTATCCCGCTCAGGACGAATGATGGGGAATCGGTTGGTTTAGATCAAAATGAGTTGGATTTATTACTTTGCTTGCAAAGTCATCATTATCACTGTCATTGTTATTATTAGCACTAGCATCACTTTTACTTCCATTATTTCTACTTTTTAATTTGTATGACCGCTGTTGTCAAGGTCCTTATATGTTCTTTAGCTATGTCGAGTTATTCCCTGCGTCGGATATGCCGCCAAGTGCAAGACGTATTGAATTTCGCTCTGTTTCTTCTTCAAGTTCACTGCTGAAGCTTCCGAGTGCGCCAGCTAAAAGCAGCTCTGGTGCCTATGGCCGGGAGAGGAGTCGGTTGCCACCTCCTAACAGAAGTTCTCGTTCATCTGGTTTGGGCAGGCATCCTTCGCACAGACATGGGCCCGCACTTTCTTCTATGAGGCGTTCGCCCACAAAAAGAGAAAGGTTATCCCCTACTCCTGTCCCAAAGCCAGTCCCTTTGGCCCATGTCAATACGTCGCGTCATAATATGGGAGGATTTTCAGAAGGTAAAAGTCTATGCGTGTATGTTGTTTTGGAATTTGTTAGAAAATTTTTTTTCAGCTGTTGGAAACGGATATGGCTACGGAGGCTATAATTCACCGCCACATCATCAATCGGTTACCTCATTTTTAGTGCAATTCATTTTAATATCACTCAGTTGTTTAAAACTTTTTTTTATGTTTTTCTTATTTCTAGTGTCACTGTTCGCTCAGTAAAGCAGTAGTCACTAAGTACCAATCTTTTGTCAATGGGTGCTCATTTCTTCAGCATTCGTGTAGTGCGCAGCAGTCTCCATATACAAATCAGACGTCGTCGTCGTTCTCGGGCCAGAACTCTTACAGTTCGCATGGATCATATGGTCCGGGTACCTCAAATTACGATGCTCCAACGTCTTTTGGAAGTCCGAATGATTTTTCAAGTACTCCCTCCTACTCTCAACCAGCTTATGCTACAACCAGTTCCTATAACTCTCCTACCACCTACACAGCTCAGAGTTCATATTCTGGACAGCCGTATTACAGCCAGTCTAGCGTTTATGGTCAGTCAAGTAATTATGATCATTCCTCCAACTATTCTGAGCCGACGTATAACCGCCTTTCTTACAGCGGAGGAGAGTCATCAAAACCTTCCTGGTGATAGTTAAATCCCACAAGCGTAAGCGGTTGCCATTAAATTCATTTTGGTTCCCGTCACCTTTCTCGGTCCAAAACTTGGCTGAAGAGACTACGTAGCTGTTTAGATGGGAATTTTTCAAACCAGCTTTTCAAAATGACTTCTCGAGTCGCATCTACCGTTGATGTTCAAACTTCGGATTAACCACCCACAACAGTACAAAGGAATGATTTGTTGGGTCTTTTCGCTGAGCACAAGATATCATTCAGGAGTATCCACGTCACGCCACCTACTTGACTGTCATTAAAGTCGTGTCCAAAGTGCTCAAGGTTTCGGCCGCCCATTAATTTTAGCTGTGTACAAGTCTTAACTCGTTTCTGTATCTAACAAGTATTTGAATTGGTTGTCTTTCCGAAAGAAGGAAGGAAAGTCAGTACTGTGGCACTGTTTCCTTGTAAGTTGTGGTTTGCTAAAGTACTGTCTTGCTTTTTGAATAAATCGGTTCCATTCTGACTCGACAGCAAAACGCCACGTGACTCTAGCATAAATTTTTAGACAGGTGGTCCACATATTGCGTGGGGATTGCGGACTACACTGGGACTAACACGCACGGCGCTTTACTGAATATGGGTTGCACAAGGATGCAAGTGCGTCTTAACTGCGCAGCAGCAGTCGGGCCTTCAAGCGGTTTGACTACAGAATGAAGTAGGAAGCGGCTTCTAGACTCCTAAACATCAAAGGGGCCATGAGATTTTGTTGAAAACCATTGTAAAGCATATAAATGTTCGGGATCACCTCAACATGAATACAAACCCGACATTATTATTCTACAAATATCTCTCACAGCAAATTCATGAGTAACGAAACAAGTGTTCTAAAGCTCAACTGCCGATTATCGGATACACTTAAGCTAATTATGCGATATTGTACAGCTATATAAGTACTTCGCGATGTATGCATTACAAAAATGTCATCATCATTCAGAGGTAACATTTGGAATCAGACAAGTTAAGTTCGTAGAGATGCGCTTCGAAGACAATCATTCAATAGTTCAAGCTTTTAATCTGGAAACCGGATCCCCCAAGTCTTTTAACATCTGCAGTTTCAGCTGTGAAAGTACTTCTCACAGTAAGCTTTGAGGCTCTGCAAAATGACAGTGAATGTTGATGTTTTAAAAAAATGTTATAATTTTTTAATTCCCAGTTTCTGCCTAAAAACAGTACCTTCCCCAGCGATTCCAGCTTCATAGCTGGGCCTAACTTAATTTTCAGAGTATTGATGCATTGGTCAAGCGAAAGCAACATAAATGCTTCACCGTCGACTTCCTGAAAAAAAATTTATGAGACATTCAAAAGCATGTAATTCAACTGTAAATATGTAATCTTTTGATAGGCCCACGTCTTTTTCCAACAGTTCTGCATAACACCTAAGGTCAGTTTGCTTCAACCAATCAGACAATTGTGCGCAATTCCACTTTAGCGGATTCGACAAAATAGGCGGCATGCGGATTGTTTCAGACCCCTCGATACGCCCTGTGTGAACCTTGAAAACAAATTAAAAGTCAAGTGCCCGCTAAACCAGGTCACTATATAACCACAGAGACAAAAAGAAGCTAAGAAAAAATCTTTAACAGATCGTCTCTCGAAGCAAATAGGACACGCTTTTCCCCTAAATATTAAGAAAAACCCAAGACATTCTTGTTTTCAGCAACGACTAGGGGGCATGGTGAAGTAAGAAGAAGAGACGAGGACGGGTGATACGAATCTTATGTATTTTCCACATTGAAAAATAAAAAAATCACCGCAGGTTTTCTCGCCGGTGTAGATGCGGGCCTGAGACTACTTGTAACAATCGAGAAATCTTGCGCCGCGAATGGTACAGGTGACGGTTCAAGAAGACGAGGACCAGGAATAGTAATAGGTGTGGGAAATATGGGAGATTGCGCTACTACCTCTGATGTGAGCTGTTTCCGTCTACGACGCATCAATTTTTCATCTGATGAACCTGTAATGCCGAGACTTGGCTGCGGACTTTTTTTGAGCCTCTTCGGATGTTCCTGTCCTTTTAGAAAAGTAGATGAAGACTGTCGCTTCAGTGCTAGCTTTGGCGATGTTGAAGATTTAGCAAGAGTTTTTGGAGCCTCATCGACACTTAACAATTGCGCCGGGATATCTACAATCTTTGAAGTCGAAGGAGAACTTTCTAATGTATGTGGAGGCAATTTTACTGACTCCGTAGAAAAAGCCTTTCCCTTTTTCATCGGTGACTGTGACATGCTTCTTGATTCATCGCCTTTGGGACTGCATATTGTTTTCCTTAGAACAGCTCTAGTGACCGGTCTTCGGATCTAAAAAGGCTAGTAGCAGTGAAAAAAATTAAATGCAGGATATCAAAAAACTATAAGTTTGGACTTCTCAAAAGCGCAGTAGGCAAATGAAGTAAAAATTAAGATCAATAGATTTTACTTGAATAAGCAATCGCTTGTATAACTTACCTCTCGCCCTTGAGGCGGCTTTTCAATCTTTTTTTTTTTCTTCGTTGCACGTACAGGTGGGTTGTTGCCATCGAGTCGAGTTTTTCGAACAGGCGTGGATATATTTTGGTAACTGGCTGTCCAAGCGTGCTTTTCTGACCTCATAAATAAATTCTCCTATAAAGAAAGTAGGTCACTAAGCAAATGTAACCGTCCTACGAAAAGAATTGCAATAAATCCTGGTTCTTGCCGGAACACGTCTTAAAAGATATAGTGCCTTTATAAAACTGTAGATAAAAAACCAAAAAAAAAAGAAAAAAAATGGCTCACACGCAGGTTATTACAAAAGGACTGACAAGGTCCGCGATTGATATTGAAAAATTCTGGACAGGCATCCAGTAATATACAAATATTTCTTACCCAGCCGCAAAATTCTGACACTTTCTCACAACACTCCACACGGAAACGATAAGGTTTCCCATGAACCCTAAAATCTACTTTTCTCAGTTGCAGAAATTACCTGAACAAGCCGGCAACACATCGTTGAAAACAAACAGAAAAAAAATAAAGAAAAAAATGATAAAAATCACATCATTTTGAAAATTATCTTTTAAAAAAGAGACAGAGAACCCAAATTGACCTAGATTTTGCAAAAATTATAGGTGCGGAGGTATCCTTCGAGCATGAAAGCAATTTGCTCAAATCCTCTGGTCTATACGCTGCATTAATTATGTCAGAAAGAATCAGTCGAATAACCGAAGGTAATGGGCCCGGCAAATACCTGGAAAACCAATCAAAATTCTGAATACACGTCCTAAAAATTGTTAAACAACAACAAATGGACCTAATGTTCAAAAGTGTGATTACTGACAATATAGCCAACTCAAATATATCCTTTACTGAAGCTCTTCAATGCTTCTAAAAAATTGTAATTAATAAGTAAAAGTGAGACAAATCGTCTTTAGTTGGTACACGCCCGGAAGTCACATATCACCAAAATGACGCACTAAACTGAGCTTTTAGAAGGAACTTGATGCTGAATTCAGGAGTCAAATAAGCACCAACAGAATCCAAAAGCAAGACGAAAAAGCTTGGATAATGATTTCAGAAAATCAGTGAACTTTTCAGTAATAGTAAGGCAAAAAAAAAAAAAACAGAAAGCAGAAGCAATGCAACAGAATTTAGATTAAAGAATTTACTTGTCAGGAAGAGTTTTTATTCTTAAAGGATCAAGAAAAGGCCCACAAAAACAACTTCTTCTCAGGTATATAACTGGTAGCATCAGATCATCTGAAATTGGCAAAAATAAAGTCAGAACAAATTATATCGCATTTAAAATAAGAGCCAAAATTTAAAAAGAAATGACGGACTATCCAAATATACTGCTGGTATGAAGCGCTTTTCTCTCTTTATAAATATCGGGGTTCTGTGAGAGGTGCACGTTTTCTTCAAACCAAAACGGTCAGTATTTGGCGGGATGGAAGTCAATCTATTGTAAGAACACGGCCTACATAGGCGAATACCATGCTGTTCAGCAAATCCACAAGGAAATATCAACCCGCATCTAAACTAAGATTGCAGAGAGACCGTAAAAAAATTAAGTAAACTAAATCAGTTTAAAAAAACCTGGTAGAAAGAACGCCAGGAGGTGTGGCATTGCTATAATGAGAATAACTTATCCACACGATATGTTTCATCCACCTTAAGATTTTTGCCGGGTACATTTCGTTCTTAGTCCTAATGTCCAGAACCTTAAAGAAACAAATAAAACTTAACGGTTGTTCCCTCCGATTACTTCAATATCTTAAGATGCCCTGAGAAGAAACTTCCAACCTCAATGTTCCGTAACCTTTCTGGCTTGTATAATGTTTTAGGAGGATCGAATAAGGATTCAGGTGCTTTTCCCCTCAAATGCAGTTTCGCCTCATAAACAAGCATTGAAAATTCTTCTTCACCGGTATAGTCTAAATGAGAATCTGCATAGTAAACTAAAAAAGGAAAGAAGACTTTTAAGGTTTAGCCATAACAACCAATCTCAACCATTTCGTTTCTTAAAAGCAGTATTTTGCCAAAAACCTACCTGATGGCGGTGTCAGCCGAAGCCCATGCCTTTGGCACCATCCAGAAGGAAATATTTGCGGATGAGACTTCGAGCAAGTGATAGTTTTCTCCATACCACTGAGTGATTCAGCAATTTTAACAGTGAAATAATGAGAATTAATGATTTCTGTAACGTGTCCAGCAAAGAATGCCCCGCCATTTGAGGCTTGTAAAACTTCCAATGACATGTTTTCCTACAACAGAAATTGGTGGAGAAGGGGCAGTATTGAAAAAAACTTACTAAGAATGCCAATACGGAGAGAGCGAGCATTGTAAAATTAAAAAAGAATAAAGTGAATTTTTAACTTAAAAGCACCAATACCTGAAATTTATGTTCTCTAACTCGAAAATGCTCGAAAACCCAGTGCGTTACAGGATTCCTCCTTGCCACCTCCAAAACTGACTCAGCACCATCAGCAAAAAACAGCTTTGTTTGTGCCCCACTTTCTAACCAACCAATCGCATGACACCTTTCATCAGTTACAAAAACCTAAAAAACCAAACCTCATCAACCCCACTAGTCCTTTTTTCTTTAACGCAGTAAGCGAAAAATTATTAACAAAAGTTGCCAGTTCCCACTAAGCTTCCGTAACGACCAAAAGAGAAAACAAAATCAGACCGGCATTCATTCTTTTAAGGCCCTATAAAATTTAACCTATTCACTTCCAAAAAGCATAATGTTGAGAAGAGTTACCATCAGTTGTTCTTACTACCAAAACCTAAAATCTAGAAGAAACTTGCACGACTGAATTACATTACCAAACAATAAAAATCTTACTCTAACTGGCCTATCTAAGTCTGGTTTAGCACCATTCCGACCTATAAGCAGAAGACCACCACGATTTTCAAAAACTTGAGCAATATATACCTTACAAGGGTAAATTCTATCCTGCAGTTCAAAGTACTGACCGACCTAAAATATTCAAAGAAATTCAAGGACGAAAATTTTAGCATCAAATATTTAACAAGAGAGTAAAACCTTGACAGATTCAGCCATCGTCAAATGCGCTAGTTCCAGATCGAAAGCTGTCAATTCCTCAGTGAGACTACTTTCCGTCATTACATTAACATCATTTTCAATGTTTCTTCGATTCCCATTGATCTATTAACAGAAATGATAAATAGAACAAAGCAACATGAAATAAATAGAAAGACCTAATGCTAAACAAGTCTACTGTGTAAACTCTACCACCTTCCTCCAAACGATGTAGAAGCTTTCAAAAGCAGAAAATAAAAAATCTTACTTACTCTTAAGATATTATCTGGCATTACAGCATCGAGCTCAATGCACTGAAGACCCGTATTTAACGTCACAAATAGCTTTGATTCAAATACAACTTCAATTTTGGCATGTTCTAGTCTGTCTCCAATCCTAACGACAATTTTGCGTCCTGGTCTTAAAATCCTGAAGCAAGAGATCAATGCCAAAATAATAGCTTGAAATGAATAGCTGTTAAAAATCTACAGAAAATTGATTTTTATAAGGTATCAAAATAAATGGACAAAATGAACAACCGATTGGCTTTTATAGCTACATAATTCCTAAATAAACTACATCGGGAAAATGCCAAAAGTTAAGAACTGAAGTTGTAATCAATTATATGAGTGAACACTCGTCACAGATACAGTACTAACAGCTCCGAAAGACGACGCTCCGAACACCGAAGTTGCGGGAACAATGACTGGTCATGAGCAGGAAGACTACCATCTTGTTCCATATAATGGTTCCAAGAGAACGCCTGATCATTATTTGGAGCTACAGCCATAACTGAGCTCTGTTAACGTCGTAATGACTGAAATAAAAGTGAGCGGTATTATTAAAAATAGGGTCACAAATAAGAGACTACAGCAAGTGGCAATGTACTCATCTCAAAGGTTTTTACATTGGGCAACTTGAGACAGGAAAGTAGTCGACTTTACGGAATGACACTTAAAAAAAGAATAAGAAACAAAAAAACTAACATTAAGAAAATTATACTTGAATTCAAAATGGTGCAACCAAATAAATGGCGATAATATTCGAGAATAACCACAGAAGGATAATAAGCGCAAAATATTATGGAACGAGCACGTTAATCACGTACAACAAACATCGTGGGTTTATAGCAAAAAAGAAAAACCAAAAATGAACCTGACAATGATCCACAAAACGTTTCACTCAAAAACTGTACACCTGCACCTTCATGGATGAGACCAGCATAATAACCTAAATAAGTGAACATAAAGAACTGCTGGTGAAAATTCCTAATTCCTCGTGAAAAAGTTATATTGATATCATGGCACTTTATGAGATCAGAAGTAGGTCCATTAATCTGGCAAGAGATCATTACCATTAAGCTTCACAAGCATTGATGAAATAGAATGAACTCAGCAGAACCTTACATCAGGCAACTCAACTACTCATTGTTTCGCTAAATAACACTTATCCTGCGCAGTCTTCTTCAGTCAGACTCTTCTACCTCTGACAGTCAAATAGTTTCGCTTAATACCTGACTGTTTAAAAGTCAGATATTCCATCCCAAATAGTTAGAAACAGAAACGTGCCAAAAGTCAGATAAAGCCTTCCTACCTCGTTAAATGATATCAAAATTGTACCACTTAGATTTGCATGTTTTTTCCGGACCCCGCACACATAAAGCTAAACAATGCAAGGTATTTGGTTGTTTTAATCGTACTTCAAAGCCCAAATCATATTTGCAATATTTCATTTCCCATAATACTAAAAACTGTTCTTAAAAGATTAGCTCTAGTTTCACATTAAGCCTAAAAAAAAATCGACCAGAAAGAAATAGCGAAAAAAAAGATGCTTATTCCTGATCGAAAAAAGATAGCCTAAATTCTGTATTCTCGGGTCAGGAACAGTGATAATTATTTCGAGATCACTAGATACGGCTTTTCCAAATTAAGGCTAGAAAAGTTACTACATGCTTAGTAGAAAAACACAGTTTTCGCGGTCACAAAACTTTACTGCAACGGTTTGAATAGTTAGTCTCCCCAACATTGAAATTACTCGATTAGAGCAGATATGACTCAGAAAACGTACTTTTGATCTAAAAAATCAAGAAGTAAATTTGAAGTGAAAACAAACAAAAAGCCATCTCCGAATTTTGCTCTCGTCCAAGTAGCTAAAAGGCTAAAAATGCTTCAACACATAGAGATAACCCATTTCGTGTATGGTACAAATTAACATCTTTCCTCGAACAAATAGGGACGACAAGCTCAATGACTCGGAAGCGTTCAAGTACCATTTCAGCTACACAAAGTTAAAAAGTCAAGAAACCACCATATAAACGCTTGAAATTGAGAGAGCTGACTGTAAGACGAAGGAAGATTTGGTCACAAATTTCAAACACCTATTAATTTGTCATTCCCAACCTTTAATTACTTCAAACGTCGCACCTACCCGCCTTTTTAAAAACGACAAACCCTCCAGGCTGATTAAGTTTTTAGAAACCCAAATGCTGCCACACACATTGAAGCGATCTCATCGTCTCAACGGTAACTCCCAATTACCCGACGAAGAAACATTCATATCAGCCAGCAACCATAAAAATAAATTTGCAGAACGGATGTCTGGCAGATCATAAGCACTCATTACTGCTAGAAAAAAAATTCTTTGTAAAACTAAAAACGTAAAATTAATAAAGAAACCATTCTCAAGTCTAACCCATTCCTCATTTTGTTCATAAGCAGTATCGTAGCTGCACCTTCAAAAGTTTCCAGTTTACTTCCAACATTCAAAACCCTTAATCCTTTCGTAGAATGTTTTTCAGCTAAAATTTCTGCACGTCTTTCAACTTCATCTTTTTCCCGCAGTCAAACAGCTTCGCCCATGGACATCTCTTAAATTAATTTTTAAAAAAAGCTTCAATTTCATTTACTCTTAACACATATTTCTGTCCAATATCGCCTTTAATTTGTACTTCCCAATTGGTCGTCCTAATCAAAACAAACAAACAAACAAAAAACAAAAAAACAAAAACAAAAAATAAAAAAACAAAAGAAAAAAGCACCCCACTGGCATGACTGTTCTTCTCAATAAAAATCAAAATCAACTGGTACTTTTCCTAAAGCATTTATAACAGCTCGATGTACAAGGTGTTTTTGTTGACAATAGGTTTTGCCTTAGCCTCCTTTTTTAGTATGCTTCATGAAGCAGGGAATAAAAAGTTGCTTTCTAAAAAATGACAAAGGATTTTTTTTCTTTGAAGATTTAGCTTTGACAAAAAGTGGCCACTTTAAGTCTTATTCACTTTACACACGCACCATCCACCAAATAAAACTTACGCAAGTAACATCCATACAAATTTTTCCAAAGCCGTGCCCCATCGCACTTTAACGAGCGAGTGACTTAACCCTAATCGTCGACTCACCAACCAACTACGCCTACAGACTTAAAACAAATTAACGAACAACCAGTCTCATGCCTCGTTCGTTGCAAATCGTCAAAAATAAAAACGCAAGAGTGATTCATGACGCAGCAAATGAAACATAATTATTAAAGAAAAAGAACTAAAAAATAAGATGCCACGATATCAATAAATAAGAAGCAACTCTGGGTCGACAGTGACTCACCATCATGTCATTGCACGATTAATTACTCTCAAAATAAAGGGTGCCCGAAAACCAATCTGTTACAGTAAGAAATGCAAAGTTGATTGCTGTCAAAAACCCCGTTTTTGATCGTAACGACGAAGAAAAAAAGAAAAAATGGCAAAAAATTGTAGAACAAACAATCGACGCTTTAAAACTGCGTCACAGCAGCATACTGTTAAAACTAACTGAAATCACTTTTCTGTGATCAGAGGTTTCACTACTTCTCTCCCCTTCTTTCGTTGTTCAAGAATAAGTTTTTGTAGTTCACTCAGGAATAACGAAAGGGAAAATTATAGCGTACTGCCGGCGTTTTATACAGTAAAATCAGCAATAAAAATGATAGAAATTAGGGGTGTTTGAACGAACGACGATGATTAAGGGCAGCAGTGAGAACAACAACTGGAATAGTAAAAGGGAACGTAAAACCTTTGCTCTAGCAGCTCCACAAGTTTCCAAAACGAAAAGTTGCGAGTTTGTACAGTATCGAGTAGAACTGAAACACCGGCAACCATTTCACTAAGCGCATTGCAATCAATAAACAAAAAATCAGGAAACGAACACAGACGCACCCGCTGTGCATTCTGTGCATCATTTCATATCCACATCTGTCCCTTTAGGACTTTTGACAAAAGTTGCAGCGCAATAATTTGATGTTTCAATCTTTTTTCCGTTTCTGTTTGTTCGGTGTCTGTAGTCGTCAGTCATTGGAGGTGTATATTGATAGCTTTTCTCTCGCCGTTTTCTTCTTCTAAAAACATATATATTGTGGTCACAATTACTTATATGCATCTGCATAAGTTGTTTGCGATTTAGGAATTTATAGTTGCTGGAAGCGCAAATAGCGAACTCCTGGTAAAAAGTGAAAAAGAAGTTTTTTTTTGAAAAACCTTTACCTTTCTGAAATGTGTATAATAAAAGTATATAAAAATTTCCAAAAAACTCGAAGCATAAGCGAGCGTTGACAAAGTCTTCGCGCGCACTCCCTCATTTATAAAACTACCATACAAAAGTTTATTTATTTAGGTCATTTTTTTTTTTTTTTTTTTTTTTTTTTTTTTTTTTGCCTTCTCTTTTTACAGACACTTTTTTTTAAAGACTCAACAGTTCTGTAAGAGTTGACAAATCAGCGAGAAAATCGTAAGGAGAAAAAGCAACTTTCCTTCGTTTATTTACTGGTCTTAGCTTTCTAATCACAAAAGTGTACGTATTAATGACTGTAAAAGAAATGCTACAGTTAAATGAGACATTGTGAACTGTGTAATCCCCTCATGCTGAAAGTTCATGACAAACTGTGACCAATAAAGTTTAACGAAACTTTTCTTCTGAAAGCATTTTAGTTTTTTTATTTCGTTGCGGCTGGAGATATTCCAGCATGTTTTTGAGTTTAACAAAAATTAGTCGCTATTTAATGTTGGTGAAGATCATTATTCTGAATAATTGTTGACGAAGTTGCTAAAAGACCAGTACAGACTAATTAATACAGTACTATCACAAGTTTGCTTTCATAGCAGTTAGTCAGCAAAATTTTTTGTGAGAACAATGAAAAAATTTTTGTCTATTAATTCCAGGCGAACTGTTTGGTGGTAATGTATTATAAGAAATATTTTTTGGATATCTTTATACTTTCGTGGACAAGTGGCAGTCGTTTTTCATAGTCATTTTAAAAACTCTGGTAATTTATTTACAGTATAAAACTGTAACTTGAGATCTATATGATGCGGACGCTGTTTGAAACCGCAGGATTTGAAAAAATAGGGGAGAACCTAGTTTTTCTGGTTATTCATAGCCGATAATAAGTATGGTCATTGAAGTGTAATTTTTCTCTGAAAAAGTGGAAAGATTTTTGTGTATGCGGAAGTTTTGGAAGTCGATGCAATCTACTGTAGTTGACTTTGCTTGAAAGTATCC